GTTAAATATGAAAGAAATTTTTAGAAAATTTATGGAGAATCATGTTAACAACATGTAATTGTAAAAATAATAAATATAATATAAATATAATATAAAGATATCTTTGTAAGATTCTGACGGTTGATGTTTATTTTCAGCATCAAAATAAGTCATAACTGATATTTGTCAGTTTTGATTACATGTCTACTTTGATGCTAAAAATAAGTATCGAGTATCAGCATTGTACCTTAATGCAATACATTGGGTGCTTTTCGGTTGGGTGCTTTCGGACACAAGCGTCGTTCTATCCTTGTTGACATTCAGAAGATTTGTTTGCGTCGCATGCTCCAACATGCCCCTACCGCATTCTTACTCTATGAAGCGTTGGAATGAGTAAGAGCTGTAGTAGGAGCATATTACATGTTGGAACACGCGAACAAACTTAAAGATAGAACGATTGTGTCAACTTGTGTTATCAAATGAAAAGCACGCTTATAATAGTAACATTAATTTAATATTAATTACAATTGTCTTTTCTTTATGTTTAACAACTTTTTGTTTATCGTTAATATAACGTTTGTTGCAATTAATTACATATTTAGTAATATCGCAAAATAATCTCTTTATTTTGTGAATCATATCATGTGCTAAAGAAGATAATGCACAATTAATTGAAAGTATGTTTCAGTTCACGTATAATGCACGTGATATATCACTTTAGTCCTTGTTATTCGAAAAAAAGCTCAAATATTGTGTCATCCCATGACTTTCTCTTGACTTGAGAGAAAAAAATTTGTTATGAACGCTAATCTTATTAGCGTTCATAGTCATATAACGGAAATCCATATAACGGATTCCATTTGCAAATATAGGGATTGCAAATTACTTGCAGGTGTAACAAATATTCTTTTTTGTATTCACTACAAAAATTATTTGCAACAAGTACTAAATATTTATCAAATATGCAAATTTGTTTGCTATAACAACAAACAAATTTGACAATTAAATTTTGCAATTCTTTTGCGTACATAGCAAAATCATTTTTCTCTGTGTGGCGTGTACTTTCGCACTTATATGTGAAACAAATTTATTAATATTAATTTCAATTAACACACTAGAAGGACCGGATAAAGGAGCTAAATTGGTTCCATCAGTCTTTCTAGATAAAAAATAAAGAATTAAATAAAAATTCAACTATTTTATATAATTGAAAATTTTTTTTATTAAAATTAAGAAAAGTTATAAAAGGATATGACGTGGAAGTAAAATTGAAAAAAGTTATATTAGTTTGAATTTCGCGAGGAACAAATTGGCTACCTCGATCCTTCTAGTGTTGAATCTATTATTAAGTTGCTTTTTTTATTATAACATTATAATTTAATTACATTTAAAGATTATTTATATTAATTATATTATAATTAAATATTATATTTAAATATTATATTATGATATTATATTTAAAGTATATTTAAGTATATTTAAAAGTATATTTAAAAAAGTTATTTGAGATTAATAATGTAAACAAATAAGTTTTGTGTAAATCTTCGATTTTTATTCGCGCGATCATTGAAAAGTTTATATCTTATTCTGCATACTTCACTTTTCAAACTTCGTGCCGATAGCAATGTTTACTTGTATATTTACACAATATATTACTAATATCGATTTTTATATAAATTAACTTTAATCTCGATTCAAATTATTTTTCATCTTTTTCTAAACTCTAGAACTAAAAAAAAACAAATAGTAATATAAAAGTTAAACTGAAATTAAAATTAATCTACGTTGATAGAAATGAACATAGATAATTCTAAGAACTGGAAAAAGACAGTAAATTAAATCAAGATTAAAGTTAATCTACATTAATGGAAATAGGCAGAAACACATGTTAACATGTTCAACTCACCGAAGAAAGAAGCTCACTCAGGATATTCAGTACTGGCATTCCGAATTTCCCAGAACTTTCTGAGATACAACTGCTGATTGCTGACCTGAGACAGTGTGAATAAGATAGTGTGGAATTCGAATTCTTTTTCAATAAGAATTTATCTACATAATAGGAAAACTTGTGCGCATGTGTAAAGTAACGTAGCAACTTGATTCATTGACGGAGCAGATCGGCTGGGTGTCTATAGGGGCTCTTGTCCTCCTATACAGTCGTGGACAGAATTGCACGTTTTTTTTTTCAGCGAATCGATTTTTCCACACCTTTGTTTTCAATGAATTTCGGAATGTAGTCTAGATTCAAGTATCGGAATGCAGTCTTATGGATTCAAAAATAAAAAGCAATCGGTGAGTAAGCATATTTCGAGACTCATTGAAAAGACGTGTTATAACCGTTTTGTGTTCTATCCACGATTGGACTGTACTACTGATGGGGATATATGCCAGCACTAGCACAAGAGGAGCAATGTCCAACCCCCAGTCCCCCACCACGAGATAGAACTTCACCAGCGCTACTATGTATGGACAGTTCAAATCATAGTATAAGAATAGGAGTTATTAATTCGTTGATTAATCAATCGCATTACGTGTAAATATAGTTTTTTATAAGATAAAGTTGCACATGTTTAATATAAGGTAAAGTCCTATTGTTTTCCATTTACACATAAGTAAAACTGAGAAGCTGCGCACAATGAAAGAAATAGGAAACAGGGAACAGAGAAAAAGAATTTCAATCTATCAGAAATCATGTATTGTGGAATACACAGAATACATTTCTAATTCACAACTCTTGAGTTTGAAGTGAGCCGAGTATTTCCACAGATGTCTATATTAGTACTAGATTGCTAACTTCTTAGTCGATTAGGGGCCGATTGTTCCACTTTTTGGTAAATTTTACCAACTGTGAGGTAAATTTAGTAATTCACGCATGTGATTGGATAATCTTGCTACTTACTCAACAGATAAAATTTATCAAAAATTGGAACAACAGGTTTTTAATCGGCGTTTAACTGATTAATCGCAATTTGCTATTTAATAGAATTTATTGGTCAATTCTAGGACTCTATAAAAGGTATTTATTTTTAATTATAAAAGAGAGAAAGATATTTCATTGAACAGTAACAACAGACTAAATTAGAACAACCAATCAAATGCTTGCTCCGAAATTAATAGACGCATTCAAGTTGGGCAAAGTTGCTAGTCTGCTTGTCGAGCGATTGGCAACGTTCAGTGAACTCAACAGTTGAGCGTTTCACTATTATTGGTGTATTTTTTTACATCACTCAATTAGCATTTTAAATCTGGAAGAATACATCAATAGCAGCGAGCGCTTACTTAACTGTTGAATCCGCTATTGAATGCAGCCATTAGATGCGTAACGAAGTCAGAAGCATAATCGCTCACTAAGCGCTCAGTGAGCTCTGGTCTATATTTTTAAATCTAATGGAATATGCCAATCAAATTCAAGAGCTCAGTGAACGGTCGTGCTTCTAGATGCACTCATTGCATTCAGCAGAAAAAGTTGCTTTGCAATTATTATAAAATTCTTCAATACGATTGGTTCTTGCTTTTGATTTCTTAAGGTATCTTTTTATGTCGACACTCAACGCTCATTTTCGCCAAAATAAGTCATGTGATAAGGTAAATTTTCGCGGATCACTTAAACCGGCTATTTCAGCGATAAAAAGGATCATGTGATCAAAATTGACGAATGTCAAGCGTTAATTTTGATCATGTTATTTATTTTGAAAATGAACATCGATACTAAGCGCTCATTTTTAACGTCAAACAAATTATGTGATAAAAATTAACGCTTGATATTCATCAATTATTATGTGATCTATTTTGATATTAAAAATGATTGAATGTCAATAAGAAAGGCACTTTAACCAACTCTTTGATCGACGATTAGTCCATAGAAATTGACTAATCATATTTAACAGTTATGATTGGCCAATTCCAATAGATTAACCGTCGATTAGTTAATCAGAGTTGACGTAATGGCCTATAATGGTGCAGTCACAATAGGAGGAATAAGGAATTAGAAATAAGAAATAACGATTCCAACCTATCAGAAACTGTGTATTTCAATGTATCTAATTTCTAATAGGTTGAAATCTTTATTTCTTATTCGTTTTATTGTGCTGTATCTTAAAAGCCGCAGCACAGACACAGTTTTGCATAATGCATAAGGAAATGAATCAATTAAAATCCTTTATTTCTTTCCTTTTCATGAAATAAAGAACTCTGATTGGTTGATTAGCTGCGTTTGGTAATGCAAATCTGAAGCGTCGGAATGCTCTTATATTATAGCATATGTCACGTGCACTGTAGAAAAAGAGCACTCCGACGCCTCAGATTTGCATTACCAAACGCAGCTATTTTCTTATAGCCTCATGTTTTATGCATAAGAAATTTAACCAATCTGAATTCTTTATTTTATGGAAAAGAAAGAAACGAAGGACGTTGATTGATACATTTTCTTATGTATTACGTGTTAAACACCAAGGAATAGCAATAGCGATAGGAATAACACGATTTCAACCTATCAGAAAGTGTATATTCCAGTGTATCTAATTTCTGATAGGTTGAAATCGTGTTATTCCTATCGCTATTCCTTGGCATTGTGTTTAAGGCTTTATGTATTATGTATTATGCAAGAGTTTGTGCTCCCCTTACAAACGTATGCCGTCATGTGTCGTGTCATCGCTTGTGGCGGGAAAATGCATGTTACTGCGCATATCATGCACTTGTGTTGAACACGTGACCGAATGATTAAAATTGATGATTTATCTGAAAAAAATTATATTATTTTAAATCGCGTTTCAGTATAATCCAAAATTCTGCATTTTAACTTTCGACGAATCTTGCAATGTAATGTTCGAATAGAAATACGAAGAGTTAAACTTCAAGCAACTAAACGCAAGGTTATCCACAAATTTTTACATAATAATGGGAACATTTCACGGAATTATCTGCGAGAAATTCACGGAATTACTTAGAGAATCTTTTCACTGGATTCTGACTTTTTCAATCGATAGACTTAATTTTCGCATCAATATTTTGAGAAAAGAACTTGAAACATCGTTCCAGAAATATTTGGTTGTAGTTCAACTTCCTTCCCAGCAATGTGCCTTTAGTTATTTCATGTCATGTGCATGACTCGAATTTTGATAAAACGATTAAAAAAACTCGCATCTTATCGTTTCTTATATGATTACACAACTACATCTCGATGTTTACTTTGCTGAGGAGAATGACGCACAATACATTTCTGAGTCGTTCTGCCCATATTAATGGATCCTCTTACGAGGTAAATACATTTGGTAATCGCCTTTTTTCTTGTCTCATAATTTTCTATTGCCTTTTAATTTATTGCATTTATTAAAAAATCGAAAATTTTTGTTATAATTA